GAGAGAGAGAGAGAGAGAGCGCGAGAGAAAAAGAGAAAGGCGAGATTTATTTGAACAATTTGAACGTTTAATTTCAAAATTTGATTAACATAGAAACATTAATATAAAAATATAACGTAAAACATAATGCTAAATATGATGTTTAATTATATTTTTAATATAAAAATAAAATTGACGGAATAAAATTGCTACGCATTTATTCAGTATGTACACGGAAAGAACACTTTTGCTGGCAAATCTAAAAATTTCACTAGATACAGATCTGAAAATAATTTTGTTGACCCATCAAAATTATTTTGTAGAACACTTAAATATGATGATAATATTGCAAAAATGTTTGATCTTCTAACAATCAATTTGAACTCGTATATAATAATTTTGAAGGACCAACAAAATCATTTTCAGATCTGTATCTAGCCAAATTTTTAGATTTGCCAGCAAAAGTATTCTTTCCGTGCATGTGTGCATGCGTGCGTCGTGATAAAGCTCTCGAAGATATTAAACATTATAACATATCATCAATAATATATAATATAATAACATTATCATCAATAAAAATTTGTGAAAATACTGAGAAATTAAATTCATCGTATTAAATTTGTTAAATTGCAAATGTATATGCAAATCAAGAATTCGTTGTAATAGCAAAAAAATGTTTAAAGAAGAAGCTATAATGATTACAGAAAAAATGATTATATAGCTCAAAAATAGCTGATAAGGAAAAAATTAAAAAGAAGATTTTATAATATATGAAATAATATAAAGACACTTAACTATGTCTTTCAAAGCTATTTTCTAATTTAGTTAATAAAATATTTCTAAAATTTGTGCAATTAATTTTAAATGTATGTATAGACATAACTAAAAAGTAAAATTGTATATATATACATTTTATTTTACCTTTTCCCAAACATTCTGTATTGTCTGCTAGCCTTGGCCTAACAATAGTGTAGCATTAGTATGTCTACTGTTTTTGTACGGGTTTATTTGAATTATGTATCATTTAATCTGTAAAAGAGATAAAATTCATGAACACGTCGTTCCTTCCTTTTTTATTCAATATGTTAAATCGTGATCGAAATGATATGCGAATATTTAGCATTTTCAAGTTATAAATGCAAATTTTTTAGCTTTTATGTTAATGTAATAGCTGTATTGTCATAGATCTATCAATTATTCGAAGCATTCGAAGCAACATTAGAAATCAGAAAATATTCATATCTTTTTATTTGTCAAACAAATAATGTTTTTGAGAGTATTTGTAATAAAGGGGAAGGAACAAAGATTTATGTTGTATTTCTGTTTGACATGAATTTTATTGGAAAATGATTGAATTAGGGAAAGAAATAATAAAAGAGAAGAAGAGTACAAATATCTATATATTCCACTGCATTTACATAGTTTTTACATTAAGTAAACTTGATGAATGCACGTTCAATTTTTTTAAAATTAATCACTGCTAAAATTTATAATAATTTATATGAAAATTGAAGTAATATGTATTTACTTATTATATATTATCTATAATTATTTGTAACGGTAAATAGAATTAATTTATTATATATAATTTTTTTTAAGAAAATATTTAGTAGTTTAAATGAATAATAATTTATGTTTTTAAATTTTTAGCATATATTTTATTATCAATTGATGTTCAAATTCTATGAATTATGCTAATTATATAATTCATCATGTAATTCGTAATTTTATTACAATTTTATTTTGTTTCTTTTTTTTATTACGATTTTTATTTATTTTTAATACGGCAGCTTAGTCAAAATAATATTTTAATGAAGCAATCTAATTTCTTATACCCAATCCTAGATATTTTAAACATTAATAAATATCTTAGATATTAATAAATATCGATATATATATTTTATTATTGACGAATCACACGTTCCTGTTTCGTGATTCAATTCGACGAAATGTTTGTTGTTTATAACCTAAGAATATTATGTGACTATATTCTACGTACAGGTTGATTCATTAGTAACTATTATTGTGATATGACAAGAGATAATTTTACATGATAAAGTAAATCAAAAGTGTATAATAAAATTTTTTCCTAAAGATAAGATCTTCTTCTCTGAAAAATTGTTTATTAGTATACAAATTAAACAAGGTTATTACCAGTATTAATTTTCATATTTTTAAATTATTTTTTCATATATTCAGCCTTCTTTACACACTGATATTCAGAAATATGCAAGTCAGATTTGTTTCAACTTTTCCGAAAACAAATGATGATTCACTATATTGTTTTCCGATAGAAATTATAAAGTGGATAGATAAGAATGTAGAAGAATTGATAAGCCATTGGATAAAGCTCAATTCTTCAATTTTTAAGATTGAAAACACATTATTGCACGATATGATCCTATTAATTTCTAAATTTTTTTAGTATTTATTTTTCATTTCTGTAATCTATTTCTGAAGTAGAAATTTTTTGTGAATTTATGAGTCCCAATGAGATACAAATGCAAACTAAAATAAGGAATATCATGGATCTAGTTTCCACCGATGTCTTAATTCGCTCTTAATACGACGTAGAACTAGATTTAAGTCGAGGAAACGCGACAAATTGCGCTTATTTCAATCCCGCTTCGATCCACAAATCTTTACTTTCGAAACAGCATCTTAAATTTGATCCATACCAAAGTAGAATCGAATTGAAGACTTCGGTGGAAACTAGACCATGGACATATCTAGGAGAAGAAGGATTAGAGGGTTCAAATCCTCCTGACATATAAAAAAAAGTTAAAGTTAAATAATTAACAAAATCTATGATTAATTATAGTTTACGGAAATCTAATATTTTCCTCATTGAAAATCAGAAACGAGGAACTATTTTGAGCTCTAAAATATCCAAATTTATCTAAAAAAAATAATTCATTTAACATAAAAAATTGTTGTATATGTTAACAAAATTAAAAAAACCTGGATACGCTCACGTGGAATATTAATTAAAATCTTACTGCAATATATTCAAAACTTCAGTTTTACAATTTCCTGCCTACTTTCGTCATTATTTCTCGATCAAGTTTAACATTACCTTGTTATTGTGCTAAACCGGTCAGTCCTATATTATAGCCGATGCAATTTGGCATTATGCCGAGAAGCTCGAGAAAACTCGTCACATGATCATTAATCAACATAAATTCTCGCAAGCGTCACTGCTTTTTTGCGTGGTGTTTGCGCAGTATTTAGTCTATCGCGAGAAGTATCAAGTCAAAGGCCTTATCCGTGTGCGCATCAGAAAAAAAATATACGTAAGTATGTCGTTGCTCGGCGTGATTTGTGATTCGAGTCGCGGCGGGTTAACGACGCTGGATTAACGATAGCCGAGCGCCACCAGGTGGCGTTCGCGGCGCGGCCACCGACTCACGGACTCATCCGGCCTCCGAGCATCGCGCGACGGTGACAGATCGGCGGATAGTGGTAGTCGATGACGGTAGCTCTGCTGGTGTGGTCGATCGTTTTGTCATTGTTTTCACGTTGCCGTTAAAGGGAGTTCCACGCGACGAGTCGTTGTCGAAGTGTTTCCGCGTGCGACGCGGCGATGATAATTTCGTGATACATCACGTACAAACAGCACAACCGACTCGAGGTGAAGTGTGTCGTGTCGGTGCAACACGGAAGGATCAATTTCGGCGGGCAGTGCGAACGCCACGCGATGCATAGGACTAGTTTAACAATCGCGGCCGCGACCGCTCGTCGGAGCCTGCCGGGCGCAGCCGTGACGCGTAGCGACGTCCTCTGGCCTTTACCCGTGCTGCTGTTGGCCTTGCTCAGCATCGCGAGTCCGGTGAGTGACGCATTTTGCCGAGCAACGACAGTCGGGTTTATATGCGCCGTATCCTTTTTGCGACACTCATGTCGCACGCTCGCCGCGCGTGCGTCGTGTCAACCCTCATATTTTCTCTCTCTTTCTCCTTCGCTCTCTCTGCTTTCCTACGTGACGAAACGAACACACACATTCATAATGTACGCTATACATACACGGTTTACATACCTGCCTCTGTATACCGTCCACACCCCAGCGAAGATCGGCGGCGCTCACGCATTGTGTGACGTCATCTCGGCTGATCGCCGAGAAAGCCTGTGAGCTGTCTTTCCCATCTGAGGAATTCATGTAATTATGCCACCAGGTTGGGAGGAAACCAATGTCTTGAGTAACACGCTGGTTCATGTGGGTCGAGGCTAATGAGAAACATTTTTAACAGACTGATTCTGGAAAATCGATTCTAGAAAGTCGATTTTGTTTTCAATGTAGTCGCCAATGTTACGTTCTAAATTCCAATTCGACTTAACGACTTTGGCGACGGGTGAAAATATTCTAAAATATCTTGATTATATCGTAATCTCTTAATTTACGTCGTTTGTCCTTCGTCCTTTCTCAGAATCTCATGTATTCGTATTATTTATAGCAAAAACGAAAGGAGATAATAGCATGATTCAATGCTAAATACTGGGTAATGATAATTGGCCTCTTATTGTAAGACAAAGAATGCATCTTACAACACACGTACAAAGCATCTCTACGTCATTCGATAACTATATTCTTGTTGATGCATTTTGTCTATATCTTCTTGTTTAGAAAATTAAATGATGATGTATTATATTTATATGGAAACACTGAAAATAAGGAGAAAGATAATCTTAGAAGGTGAAAGAACAGATATATTGAGTTTGTGTGAGATATATTGAATAGATATGCTGAATATTTGAATTAATGAAACTAATAGAATTTCACCAAAAATGCAAAAAAAAAGAAGAATAATAGATTAATTTTTCTGTTTTTTGTATATTTTAAATAAAACGAGAAAAGGAGAAAGAGCATTTTAATATTTTTCTAGTTTAAAAATTTTTCAATTTTAACAGCAGTCTTAACAATTTTTAAACTTTACAATCATTTTCTTCTATCTTTTTATTATAAATCAGAAATACAAATTTTAGACTTATTTGAAATTTCATATGTTAGAAAAATCTCGTGTCAATTCAAGATCTCATGCTAAATAACTTAACAGTTAGTTCAAAAACATCTTACTTACTCACCAATTAGCAGGACTTGAAAAAGTTTGAGTTTTTAAGATGTTTTTTCTCTTAAAAAAAGAAAAAAAATTGGAAAAATTGAAACTTTTTAAGACATTTGTTAAGATATTTGTTAAGATTTGCTTGATTAACAAGAATTTACATAATTTAATATATATATAATTTAATATATGTAAATATAATTAAATTACATTAATTAACAAGAATTTATATATATAATTTAATATATGTAAATTAATATAATTATATCATATAAATATATTGAATATATTACAAAAGCCTACAGAGATATCGCTTTGGTGTCAAGTTATTACTTTGATTTCTCAGCGTAGTTGTCTGCGCTCGTGTTGCGAAAGAGCGCTAACAAGTGCAACTGGAAACGGCGCTATTGTTAATGCCTTTATTATTAGTTAAATGAGATTTCTTTTCATAGCGCACTTTTTGAAATTTCGTTAATTTTTCATGCATAAACGGATGCATAAACGACGTATAGAACGCATAAAACCATAAAAATACGTACCATTAAATGACATAATATAATGATAATATAATAATCATGTCCCTATATTCTATTTCTGACATTGGATTAATTTTTTATGCATATATCAGCTGTAGAAGACAGACCATTTGATCACAAAAAACATGCAATTTAAATTGCAAATACAATTTTTTTTTTTCAGTTATATAAACTCTCAAGTTATTGAGAAATACACGGATTGATAAGATTGTAAATTGTCTATTTTTTGTACGTTTCATCACGAATTATTTACAAAGACGATTAAAAACATGCGGATTCGTGCCGGACATAATCCAAAGTATAACGCCCATTGCGTGACTTATGATTCCTTATAAAATGAATGACTCATGCGTGAAGCTGATACTGAACATTATTTTTCGTGTAATATGGACAAGTGTTTTTATCTTATACATTCGTACTATCTTCCGTTTCTCTTTTTTCATTATATTTTAAAGGAACTATCTATTGTGCAATATATTATACAAAATGATGAATAAGAAATAAAAGAGAATGAACGCATATGATACGTCACTTGAAACAATATGTAGCTCTTCAAATATAAAATAAAATTTCTTCATTTATCTATAACAATACTATATAACATAAATATTACAAATTTTCCCTGTGGAACTGAAATAATCAACTTTGTTCAGTTTTTTAATATATTCTCATCTTTCTAATCCAACACAATACAACACAGTAATACAACACAGAAAATTATATAAGTTTATCTCATTGAGATAAATGAACCTTTAACAAATATTTAAAGTGTAATAGTTAGTAAGTAAAATAGTTAAGAATTTCGGTTTCTATTTTTGAAAATGTAATAAATTTTATATAAATACATATTTACTTTTACAAATATATTTCTTGATATATTTCTTTGAGATCAAAACCATTTTTTAAATTTTCTTCTATTAATTAATTTAAATTTTATTTATCGTGAATAACGAGTACTTGTGTAAAATATTACAATATTCTTATTTTTTAAAGTGACATTAAATTTTTTTCTTTATTTTAATGACATATCCTATTTATTAGAAAATTTATTAGAAAACACTATGTTATTTATACAAACTTGAAATTAATTTTGGAGATAAACAATAAAATTATCTAATCATATATATCATAGAATGTATATAAGAATATCTTTTGTCAAAATGAAATATTCATCTCTTTGTTGGAGTTCATTCAATATTGTGTTTTAAATTAGGCGAATTTAATCATTAATTCAGCTCATTGGCTCAAATAAATCTCATCACGCTTTAACACGCAGGTCATGAAGAACTCAATTAGGAAATGCCTTATGCAATACTCTATATATCTTTATATATAGAGTCTTGTGAATATAGTTATTGAAACTTGTTGATGAATGTTATTTGATATGACAAGTTTGATATTCATTATATATATAATACTGATATGATTATAAATATTAGATATATGTAAGAAAAAAATATCTTGATGTGTAATATGTTAAAGCTAATTTTATCACGCTCTTTTATTTTATATAAGAATAAATTATTTAATGAAAATTTGAATGTCTTCTTATTTATAAACAGGTTGTCGGTGAAAAAAATGGTCATTGTATATGGTACGGGAATTGTTACACGGATGCAGCCTTGCACACAAAGTATTGTCCTTACGATGGGCCAGCAAAGCCGTTGGATTCTGACGGACAAAAATTATTGTTTAAGCTTTGTCCACATTTGTTGGTAGATGAAGGCAAAGGAATTAATACTTGCTGCGATACGAAGCAACTTCTTATATTAAATGAAAATATCAAACTTGCATCAAATTTTCTAAAAAGGTGTCCCAGTTGCTTAGATAATTTACAAAAGCATTTTTGTGATTTCACATGCGCTGTTAATCAGAACATATTTATCAACATTACGGAGAAACGCGAGATAAATGGTAATTATCATATTTTGTTTCACTATGTTTAATATATTTAAAGTCTAATATCTTATGATCATAATATTTTTATATATAATTTTAATTAAATTGAATTTTCTTTTAGGTACAGAATATATTAATGCAATAGATCTATACATAACGAATAAATATCTTGAAGGAACATTTAATTCATGCAATAAAGTATCAGTGCCGAGTACAGGACAATTAGCATTGGATTTAATGTGCGGAGAGTGGGGAGCAAGTAGATGTACAGCTCTGAAATGGTTCCATTTTATGGGCGATGCAAATAATATTTATGTACCTTTCCAAATTACATATATAAATACTGATGAACCTGTCGGACCATTTGTGCCATTAGATCCTTTAATTACGCCATGTAGTAAGGCGTTAAACGTTAGTATAAAGAAGTATATATCATACTCTTTTAAATCTATTAGATCTATTAACAATATAAGATTTAAATGAGATAATAAGCAAAATGCAATGCATTCACTTGCTATATATATATTTTTCTTTGCTTTTGAATACTAAATCATAGTAAATATCTTTTTCTTTAAATAAAATTCATACAAGTTTTGAGTTATTGTTAGTTTTTATTTTATATGCAAACAATGACAAAATTACAAAAGAGAATAGACAATTATTCAAGTATAAGAATAGTAAAAAATAAATATGAGTTATTGGCTTTTTTTGTTTTTTGAGATTAATATAAGTAATTATACACGTGCATTCATATTTTTTATCATTCTGCAATTTGATAATTAAAGTTGATGTTGAACAATAGATTCTTATTTGTATAATTTTTATTAGTTAAGATCAAATAGATATTTTTGTACAAATAAAATTAATATAATTTTATATATTATATGATTAAAAAACCTCGAGTATATCTATATTTAAGTATATAATTTTTCTATATTTTATAATACAAAAAATATTCCATATAATTTTAAAAAATTAAAAATTTCATTTTCGAATATATTTGAAGCTTTTGATATTAATATGATTTTTAAATTGGAAAACGATATATTATTTATTATATTATGTTTATATATATATTTTGTTTTTTTACATCTTATGTAATTGACATTAAAACATAAAGTTATTTAATAGAAAAATTGTTAGAAAAATTATTTTAAATTATTTTTATATTCTGTACATTGTTATCTTTACATTTAAAAATGTTCTGTCATTCCAATTTTAACGGATCATCTTATATATTATCAAGTAAAACACTTCTAATTTATCTAGTTATAATTTTTTCTTTATAAAACATAAATGAAAACATAAACAAAACAGGATAATTAGAAAAACCAATTAAAAATGATTTAATTTAATTTATAGAAAAACATCCCAGCTTGCAGTTGTGTCGATTGTGAACAGAGTTGTCCAATACCACCACCGATGCCTCCATTACCAAAACCATTCTCAATATTTGGTTATGATGGTTATGAAGTTATAATGACAATTATATTTATATGCGGTTCCTGTCTTTTCCTTCTATTAATGATGTGTTTCAGCCATAGGAAACGTATAGGTAAGAAACTCAATTTTGTATACATAGTATATTTTCTAAATATCACGTAATGGTCTATTTATTTTTACCATTTTTAATATGTCTATTACTTTTAAAAATAGAAGAAAATATCTAAAGATAAAATTGTTCAGTTTAATTTATGTTATATGGCTGGTTGGATACATTTATTGAAATCTTTTTTGTATTTCAAAATTAATAATGCTCTTTTATGTATTGTTTAATTTGTTTTTTTTTTATGCAGTAGTGTAGCCAACTTGACAAATTCAACAACTGATATGACTTAAATAAATGTGAAATTTCAAATATGATATCAATTTCAACATTTGATTTAGAGAAAATATAAAAAATATTTTATTGTTAGTTATTGGACAATATCTTATATTCAAAATTTTTATTAATTATAACTTATTCTTTTTAACTGATTAACATCTAATTCTTGGATATTTTATTCTATTTTTTTAAAACAACAAAGATATTTTAGATGATAAAAATAAATCATCCTGTAAATATATATAATTGTTGCTGAATTCTTTATTCTAATTGAAATTATGAAAATGGGAAATGCATTGTGTCTTTTTTTTTTAATTTTTAAAGCTATTTTTTTTTATTATATTTTGCATATAATTTATTTTTGATAATTTATTGAATTACATTAGTGACTAATTATAGTTAACTTTATAGTTATTATTATGTTATTATTATTATTAATCATTTCTAAATACATATAAATAAATGGGAATAACAGAGATGAAATGATCAATTGAGTGTGTGATTAACTTGTTCTAATGATTCTTGGATATATTTTGTTTCTGCCTATTTATTTATTTATTTTTTTTTGGATTATAATGAATTATTTTTTTGCGTTTATTTTGTTTTATTCAAAGTTTATTCAAAAAGCATTAATAATGCTTTGAAATATTAATCTTTTTATAAACATATTAACAAACAAACATTATTTTTGTGAGAAGTATTAAGAGAATTATAAGATGATAATAATAATATTTATAATACTTATACATACTACAGATATGATCATTATAAATTAATGTAAAAATAGTCATATTTTCACAAGTACACAAAGCTACTTTAAATCTGAGGATATTACATTACATATTAATTACATCAAACATTGCTTTGGAGAAAAACTTTTATTTTTATGACAAGTATTCTCTATTTTGACTTATGAAATATTTGCTGCATAATTTCTTGCATGATATTTTTTTCTTAGAAGTGTTAATGTTAACATGTTTAAGCTAATTTTAATTTCTTTGATCATTTCATGAACTAATGCATAATTTTATTTTATATCACATAAATTCTAATAAGCATAAGTTACTAAATTTTCCATATTACATAACTTTCCGTATGTGGGGAGTTTTTATCATTTGTTATATTAACTACTTGAAGCATATATGATTTATATATGATTTGATGAATATTCATCAAATGAAATGAGAGTACTATAAGTTGTGTATGGTGTGTGCGCATATATATAGTTGCACGAGGGGAAGAGGTAGGAAGGCAGGTGGGTAGACGGCTAGCTGCCGGATTACACCACCCAGGAGATGGTGCTCGTATTGCCCTCGCCGGTGACCAAGAAGACAGTCCTCTTCAATCTAAGCGTTCTAGTAGGTTTTTTCAATTCTAAAATTATCACCGATGTATTTGTATATAATTGTGATCGTTGCTGTTTTCTTGATATACTGTAGCTTCATATCGCTTTTTATATCTTTCGCTTTATTTTTAGTCCTTGCAGAATGTACTTGCCAAGATATTAGTTGCACATTATATAATCTTTCATCTATTTTTTTGATTATTTATACTTGAATTTGTCAAATATTCTATTTGCAATATTTAAAGCATATATAACTTGTGTCTCTTTTGCAATGCAATATTATGTATTCATATTACACAAATTACGACAATTATATAATTGCACTAAAAACGCTTAAGAATGATGCTTCAATATAATTGCATTTTATATAATTAGCAAAAAATTTGTAAAAATTTATAAAAAAGCATAAGATTGATGAAATGTATTTTGATGATTTATTATGCTACATAATGATTTCATTATAATTTGAATAAAACATAAATTTCTTCATTTTTATAAATACTATAAAATACTATAAAATATTTTCAAGTTTCTAAAAAAGAAAATTCTATATGAACAATACACATAATTAAAGAAAAATTTATGATTAATTTATAAATACATATAAATTATATTTTTTCCTGCTCACAAAAATTGTGTTATATAAGTATTTTGTATTGTTTGATTTTTTAGATTATATATATATATATTAATAACAATAATAACGATATATCTTTTATAATATTTAACATTTTGCATGTTTGTTACACTATGTTATATGTATATGATAGCTTGCTTTATATAATTATAAGATAAATAAGATGTGTCATTTATAAACTTAATCCAAGGAGAATTCTCTACAATAACATTAGAGAATTATTTAAAGAGAAAATAGTTAGTATAGAATAGTATAGAACGGAATCAAGTTTTATATCTAATATTTTGTATATGTATATATATTTTACATCTCTATAAGAATGTTTCAATAAAAGATATAAAATAATTATCAATAATAAAGATACTTTAAATATGTACTATTTATTATTTGTTTTGCTTTTTGCGAAATAAGTAAAGTAGAATCTAATGTTATTGAAGGAACTCTTTTTCTTTTATATATATATATATATATATATTTAATTTTGTTGAAGTTATACAATCAAGTTATGTTATATTTTATATTAAGAATTATATCTTATAACTTGCTTTATTAATGCACTTCTAATTAATTAATAAGATTTATAATTTTAGTAACATAAAAAATATTGATCTCATATTTTTAAGCTAAGTTTAATTAAAGGATTATATTTACATAAACAACATTTTATCTTTTTCTAACATATAGCTAATATGGTAATATTATGTTAAATATAATTGTTATAATTATATTTAAGGCATTTTATTTTTTTATTATCTTATGATGATTATTTATTTATGTCTTTTGTAAAACTTTTGTTATATAAGAAATTAGTTACTTATAATTATTATATTATAGATGTTAGGATGTTAATAGTTAGGATGTTTACAGCACGAGTACTCAAGATATTTTAAACTGCATAATGGTGTTTAATCGGATATTCACAAATTGAAATTTGTTATTTTTAATGTAATTGCTTTTATAGGTGTTATATCCACTGATGAATTACCTACTGCATTTGATCAAGAACAATCCACTTTCATTGAGAAACTTGGAGCAGGTACTGACAAATTTTTGCAAGAATTTTTCTGCAAATGGGGAACATGTAAGCAAAGCAGTTTATATTTTATGTAATTTATACAAAATTGGATTAGAATATTGCTTTGCTTACAACGACTAATATTCTTTTATAGTTTGCGCTTCTCGGCCTTGGTTGATACTTTTCCTTGGCTTCCTATTGATTGTGGGCTTAGGACATGGCATAAAGTACATGCAAGTTACTACAGATCCTGTTGAATTATGGGCATCTCCACATTCTCGATCGCGCATTGAAAGAGAATATTTCGATAAACACTTTGAACCTTTTTATCGAAATGAACAAATTATTATCACCTCTATTGGTTTACCAAATGTATGTATTTATTAAAATATATTAGGCTTTGTTTTAAAATTATTTGCATAAAATTTTTATGCATAAAAACTTTTGCATAAAATTATTTACATTTTTAAGATACATTCTTCAAACTAAGAAAAATATTAGTATAATAATTTTTGTCTTTTTTAATATTACAGATTGTACATAACACTTCTAATGGACCAATTGTATTTGGCCCTGTGTTTAACGAGACTTTTCTAAAAACAATTTTTGAATTACAAGAAGGAATTAAAAGTATAATTACTACTAATAATTATACGTTAGCAGACATATGTTTTGCTCCTTTAACTGGACCATTTACTGGTCCAACAACTGTTTCGCAATGCGTTATTCAAAGTATTTGGGGTTATTGGCAAGACAGTGTAGAAAAGTTTGAAGATTCAGAAGAAGAAGGAAATTATACAGTAAACTATTTGGATCATTTTAGAGTTTGTTCACAGTAAGTGGAAAAGATTCTACATAACATAATATTTATTTGTATTTATAGAATAATTAAGTTACAAGAATTATATAAAAAATACGATATAAATAATTAAATATAATTAATTAGCCATAGAATTAATTATAAGTCTAAACAAAAAAATGTAATTTTAGTACGAAACAAAAATTAAGACTAAGAGAGATACTGAAATTTGTCTAAAAAAATAAACTATATTTAACGATTAATATTATAATGATAAAACTAGATAAATTTATTTTATATTAGAACAAAAGCACTATGATAAACTAAAAGTATACTTCTAAATTAATTAGTTGAAAAATATAACAATATAATTATTAAATTTGAAGTGTTTAAGAAATAAATGTTGTATTAGATATGTTACATATCTAATATATATAATATTTTATTATTTTATATATATATATATATATATATATATATATATATTATTTCTTTTCTTTT